TATCTCTATTCTTTAAAGAGTTATAATCATTCAAAGTTTACTATTGAAAAAAAGATCGGCAAAAAATTGTCATATATATATGAATGTAAGACACCCCAATAATCCCTGTAATTTTTTATTTTTGTGCACGTCAATCTTAAACATAAAAAATAAAATAAAAATGAAGATATAACTGATTTGTCTGAAGTTTAATTCAACAAGTTGGATCAAGTGATTTTATTTCAAAATATTATTAGCTGAACTAGAATTAGAAGATTATGAGCCAAAAAAATTAGTTCTTAATACAATTCATGATTTAAAATCATTTTTTAATAATAAAAGTAATTGTTCCTGTTGTAGTAAAAAGATTTGCTTTGAAGAGATTGGATTTAAGAAATTTTTTGAAAGATATTTAGAAGTGAAAGGATTAGAAGATGAAAAAAAAAGATCTTTGTATTAAAGCTCAATTAATGGTTTTTGAATTTAAGAAAGATAAAAACAAATCAATGACAATATATATATATATATTTGTCAAAAGGTATTTTTAAAAATTTGTAATATTGGTGAAAATAAATTATCAGATTTACAAACACATTTGCAAAATAATGGTCTATGTGATCGTCTTTATGGTAATTTAAAAAATGTCCCTAGACTTAACTCTTGTGCAATAGTTAATCTGGATACAGCAATTTTTGTAGAACAATTTAAAGCTCAATATACAAACATTCATGGTTGCCATCTCAAATGAGGATTCAAGATAGTTCTGATCCATTTATATATCCCCAACTGATAAAAATATTTTTTTGATTTATAAGGATTTCAAATATCATTTGAACTCATTAAACTTAGAAAACGATCAATCTGAAAAATTATCTCATATGAGACTTTCTGGAAATTGTGGCATGGAACAAAACCAATTATTAAATTTCAAATACATGCAAGTGATCTTTGTGATACTTGTAAAAACTTTAGTATCAAATTTAGAGCATCAAATAATGAAGATGAACAAGCAAACATTAAATTTGAATCTGAAGAACATGTTGCTGCTGCAAATCTTGAAAGACAGCACTATAATAATATCATTGATAAAAGCAAAAATGATCCAACAATAACACATATTTGTTATGATTGGGCCCAAAGTGTTGGAGCTCCTTATTCTCCTCAACAAGTTGGGGCAATTTATTTTAAATCTCCATTTATTATACACCTTTTTGGTATATGTAAGACAGGTAATGGTGAAAATCATCAGTTAAATTTTACTATTGGGGAAGATGAAATGCCAGAAGGAATATCAAAAAAGGGGGCTAACACAACTTTGAATATGGTATATCACTTTCTTAAGACAATCAAAAAGGATCTTTATGTAACATGTGATAATTGTTCTGGACAGAACAAGCAATGTTAGGCTGGTATGAAAATATTTACATAAATTTTATGATTCCTGGACATACAAAATTTATTTGAGACTCTTTTTTTGGATTAATAAAAAAAAAATACAGAGATAGGTGCATAGATATTGTTGATATGTTGAAAAAGTTATAAAATATTCATCAATAAATAATGAATCTATTAGATATAATAATGGGTTGGGTTGGAGCTGATATGACTTTAACTCAATGTTAGAAGAACATTTTAGGAATTTGCCAAATATAAGAAAATATCATTATTTTCATTTTGTAGTTTGGAAAGGTCTATGTTTCAAAAAAATTGGGTGACCCAGGAATTTATTTTAAACTATTTAAAAATACTAATTTTGATAAAAACGGTCCATTAAATACACTTGGAACTGCTCCATTAACAGATAAACGAAAGAGATATTTATATACAAATATTCGACAGCATGTAGATATTCAACATAGAGATATTCTTTGTACTGAACCTAATTAATTTGTATTTTGACAATTTATCATTTTTTATCAATAATTACTATTACATTTAGTTCCATTTTTAGATTTTTTGGATTCATTTTGTTATCCCTGTAATTAAATTTTATTATTATTATTATTATGCAAAAATAGTTTAATATTGTCACTAGTCGTAGTTTTTATATCGTAGAGTAATAATATGCAAAAAACTCAATTTTGGTTGGAAGTCCTCAGACCCCCTTTTTGCTGGTGGACATCCTATATCGTAGATAGATAAATTAATGGAATTTAATATTCCTGATTCTATGTCTTAAAAGAAGTTTTGTTGTTCGCAATCTCTAAAAATTTTTTTTGTGTATATAACAAGAGCCGATCATGGATTACTGTATTAAAATTCAAAAGATTACACTCAATTCAACAATATATACACTTTACCAGTTGGAGAAAAAAAACTATTGTTATCTTGTTATTAAGTAAATTAAGTAAAAAAAAAAACAAACCCATTTCCAAGGGGCTTCAAACTTTCTTTTATGAATAAAGAATTCTACCAAGGAATTTCTTCTATTAATTTTGAAACTCTATATTAATGACTTTGTTTTTAGATAGATTGTGACTATTTATAATACATAAAATATTAATATTAATATACAATTACAATTATTATTATACTTTAAAAATCCGGATTTTTAGTAAATTTATGTGACAGGTTTTTTCCCAAAGTAGGATAATTATAGCTTTCAATATAAATTAATTTTTTGGGGAAATTTTGAAATTTCCTTTTTTTTTTCAAAATCTATTTCCAATCCTGTTTACAATGATAAGTTCTAATATGGAAATGGTATTGAGCTTTTATTTATATAGAAAATATTGAAGTTAATAACAATATTAACAGACAATATTAATCATTAAACAAACATCAGCATGAATTTCACACATACCGGTTTAAAATTAACACGGATTTGAATTTGACACACTCCAAATTTATCAATATTTCAAAGAAAAAAACTCTTCCATAATGTCTAATATACTTGGGGATTGAAATAAAGCTCGTGGTTATTTTCTCAGGGTTTTAAAAGAGACAAAAAAAAATGGTGATTTATACAAAGCTCATATTTATTTTCTCGTGGGTTGGGGAATAGAGGAAACCTTACATCGTTACCAAATGAAATAATAGTCATCATATTTAACTTTGGGTTTTTATCACACATAGAAAAGAGGGTGTTACTTAAATACGTTATACATGGTTGGATCATTGCCAATACCACCCACCAAATAGCTGGATACCCTAGGTGCAGGAAGATTGAAGTTATATGTGAATCTCATGACGAAGGCTGGTCTTCTTATCCTCGTATCTATAATGTATTTACATGGGGTGAAGTTTTCTTTGGTTGTTCCAAAGCGAAACATTAAATTTCGATTAAATTTAGTGATAAAAACGACACGTGAGTATATTAATATACAAATAGACATGCCCAAATTTTGTATTTGGTTCAGATAATCCATTAGTACTTGATCTGGAAGCTGGTGATTAGATCTCATTATCCGAGTTGGAACAGTCATATTAGGAATGTCGAGTTAAAGCTTTATAAAAGAATGATAATTAATTCTTATTCATTGTGATATAATGCAGTTAAATTTAATTGATAATATAATTTAGTACATCTATTTACTATTATGTAATTATTATCATTTTATATCCATTTTCTTCATTTTCACTAGATTCATATGTGTTTGATGATTGATGCAATCATATTAAGATTTTCAATAAACTCCCACTGTTCTTTTCATTTCAAGCCAAAATTGAAACATTTGCTGTAAGTTTGCAGGAACGCATCATAACATAAAACTTTTGCCGGATTCCACAAAATGGCAAGAAATATTCAACAAGTGTGTTTCACCAAAGAAATTTATACAAAAAAGATAAATTGAACTGTTAATATTGATTATTAAAATTTGGATTGGTTTCAGAATTTTCTATATTTATTTTTCATTTCAAGATAAAACAGACACTCTATAAATTTTTGAACGCGTATTAAGCAATTATAATCTTAATATGGCCATAATAAAGGATTTCCCGCACAAGGTGAAAAATCGTTCAACGCTACTATTGTACTATTGTGTAATGTTATTGCAGTTCTAACGTTAATATGGAAAACAAGAACTTGGCCTGAAAGGTGGTGCAGGATCATTACAGATAAAATTAACTTTCTTAAATTCTCTTTACTCATTTATTAGATTTCAATTACTTTTTTTATTTGAATAATATATCCCGAAGAGTAGCTTATTATCATCAGATAGAACGCGCGATGAATTGACTTTACCTTTTTTGTAAAAATTTACAAAATTAAAATAAATAGACGATCATTCCTGGAAATAATTAAATTAAGTTGTACGAATTCAAAATAATCTAAATAAAAAGAAAAAACATTCAAGTTCTTCCCAAATCATCCATCTTTAATTTTACTATTTCCATAACATACATGAAACCTACAGAACTAGAACTCACTCCTTCCTCACCAACACCACTTTCTACCCCAACAAGTTTGTCATCACAAATAACTGATGGTGAGCCGAATCGGAAGAAAAAAATTCATGAAAATAAAGATTCAATATTTTCAGTATTTCTTGGACAAGTTCCTCGATCCAATTCGCTCAACAATGACTCGACGATGTACTCAACAAATCATTTAACGCCAATATCATCATCAAACAGAAGAGGTGGGAGTCATATAAGAAAGCTATCTACTGAAAATTTAAAATCAACTTTACTATTACCTGAAAATAACGATGGGTTTCGAAGAAAATCTTTTGATTCAGACAGGAGTTCTAGACATGATTTTTGCCCCCCCCCTGAAATAGCACCCTTTGCGTATCAGTATTCTCCCTCTGACTCTCGTAAAGGTTCTACCTCAACCATATCAAGTATTACAGACTCTCATTATTTCAAAATTGGACATAGACGAACAAAAAGTTCAGAAAGCGAATCAGGAATAGAGTCATCAAATAGTAGTTTTTCTTTGACAATTAGTAACAATAATAATAGTAATAATTATAATAACAGCAATAATCACCATTCATCTCCAATAGTAGTAAAAGAAAAGAAAACAAAATTTAAATGGTTTAAAAAACCAAAAGACAAAGAACCAAAAGATAAAGACATTACACCTGAAGGTTAGCATATTGAGATGGTTTTTTCAACAAGTTAAAAAGCGTGCACCTCAACTTTGAGACTATAGATTTATATTTAATTGCTCTCCTCCAATTTATTAACCAAATTTATCTTAATCACACAAAAACAGCCGAGTTAGATTGGGTTAAAGTTAGCGTGAAAAAAGACAAACTGGGAAAGAAGAAGGTAAATTAAAAAATTTATTCTCGTTGAGTTGTTTTTTGTTTTTTGATGTGTTCAACTATTAATGATATTAAAAAAATTTTTTTAACTAGGATCATGATTCGATTGGCATTAATTGTATTTTATCAATATCTGATTTTAATTACTTTTAAAATTTTCATTTATTTTATAATGTTTTTGTAATAATTTTCATTACAACATTAGTGGACACAAACTTTGATAATATGGAAGGCATTATAAGGCAAAGTCGAATCTCTGGTGCAAGATTATATGATAATGAATTTTTGCATAAAAATACAATACATGACTTACCTCAACTTACCTCAACAACTGGATCGGAAGCTTGGTTAGCACCTGAGTCTTGGGCTGTAATAAAAGAACTCCCTAACGAAAGTCCAAACGGTTTTCTAAAAGATGAATTTCATGGTTCTACGGACTATTCACAAGGATCAGAGGAGCGAAAAAAATTAGTTTGTTATTACTTTTATTTGAAATTCAGCAGATTTATTTTCTTTCCTTGATGATATTAATCATTTTACTTTTAATTTCAAAAGTTTTGTATACGAATATTTCGTCCCGATTCAACTTTTGGAACTGTTAGTTACCCAATATCTATAACAGCTGCAGAATTATGTTATATTCTTGGAAAAAAATTTTTTATTCAAGATGCTTCAAAATATAATATATATATAAAAAGACATAATTTAGGTAATATTTATTTAAAGTTGTATATATAATGAACATGCATGCGTGCACACGTGTGTATTTATTTATTTATTTATTAATAAAGTATTTCTATGTAATATCAAAAGAAAGAATATTAGGTCATCAAGAAAAGCCATTACTATTACAAAAAAAATGGCTTGAGCGAGCCGGTTATACAGATCAAGATAATTTAGAAGATCTTGGCAGAGAAGATAATAGCTATTTGGTTCGTTTTACGTTTCGTGAAACAACTGTACCAAGTTTTGAGGTAGGAATGTTTAAAAGTTAATTATTTTTAATAATGATATTTATATTCTTAAAAAATAAAATAAAATAAAATAAAATTTATAGGAGGATGCATCATTATTGAATTTTCAACATGTAGATCTTCGAGCTCGAAATTTACAAACTATTCCTATATTCCTTCATAAATATGCTTATTACATTCAAGTACTTGATGTTTCTCAGAATCTAATGTTAGATCTTCCAACAGATTTCATACAATCGTGTACTCAACTACGTGAACTTCGGCTTTTTGGTAATGAGTTAGATCGTGTACCACAATCAGTAAAGCAATCATTTATGCTTTCAAACCTTAATTTAAGTTCAAACAACTTGTGTGACATTGACCATATACAGTTGAGCGCAATTGGTGGATTAACAATCCTAAAAGTTGAGAACAATAAGCTTCAACATTTGCCAGATTATTTCACTAAATTTAATAGTTTAAGTGTATTAAATATAGCTAATAATTCTTTTGTAGAATTTCCAGTCATCATCTGTAAGATCTTCACTCTTTCTGAGCTTGATCTTAGCTTTAACAAGATCGTAACAATACCTGAAGATATAGGGAAACTTTCAAATCTTAAAAGGTTATTTTTGATTGGGAATCAATTATCCGGTCCACTGCCAGAAAATTTTATGTTTTTGGTTTCTCTTAAAGAATTAGACGTGCGTAACAATCAGCTTCACAATATTGACATTCTTTCATCTGTTCCAAATCTTGAATGTCTTCTTGCAGAATCCAATAAAGTGAGCACGATAAATTCATCATCAAATTCTTTAAAACGACTCATGCTTTCAAAAAATCGTCTTACTCAATTTTGGCTTACATCCGCTGGAACTTGTTTAACTGAATTGTTATTGTCACGCTCAAAATTAACAACCTTGCATGATGAAATTTTTGAAAGTCTTCCTTTGATAGAAAAGCTGGATATCAGTAACAATCAATTTGTGACATTGCCAAAAAAAATCTGTCTATTGACAAAATTAACGCATCTACTATGTGCATATAATATTTTATCTGAGCTACCAAGTGATATCAGTTCTATGAAAGCCTTACAAGTTTTAGATGTTCATTATAATAATCTTAATTCACTTCCAAAAGAAATTTGGCTTTGTTTGAATTTAAGAACCTTGAATGCAAGTTCAAATCTTCTTGAACAAT